ATCAGGGCTGTCCAAAACAAAAATGGGGTTACATATATAATTTAAAATGTTCTATAGTTGTATTTTTAAGGATAGAAATTGGACGTTAATTTCAATGATTTTTCTGTGTGTATGTGTGTGATTCTGGAGGTTATGTTTTTAAGGCAAATGCTACCACTGAACTACATGCTCACTCATACTGTTTTTGGTACTAAGTTGTCAAAGTGTATTTTACACTTACAGTACGTCTCAACTACAAGTAGCTACCCTTAATAGCTACACAAGGGTGATGGCCATTGTATTGAACAGTGCAGGACAACATCATCATCTGGGTGGTGGCATGATGAATATATACTTAAATAAAAATTAAGCTATACATTCAATATACAAAAGTCACACCTCAATAAAATGACTAAAAATTTTAAAAAATAGTTTGATGCAGTGGCTCATGCCTCTACGCCTAGCACTTGGGAGACAGAAATCTTGGAACTGTGATTCAAGGCCAGTCTGAGCAAAAAAGTTTTCAAGACTTCATGGGACACTAACGGCAAATTGTAGTGGTACATGCCTGTCATACTTGTGAAAGGAAAACACAAAATAGGAGGACTGCAGTTCAGGCCCAACTGGGCATAAAGTGAGAGCATATCTTTTTTTTTTTTTTTCCCCATTCGTGGGGCCTGAACTCTGGACCTATACACTGTCCCTCAGCTCTTCAGCTCAAGGCTAGCACTCTACCACTTGAGCCACAGTGTCACTTCTAGCTTTTTCTGCTTATGTGGTGCTGAGGAATTGAACCCAGGGCCTCACGCATGCAAGGCAAGCGCTCTACCACTTAGCTACCTTCCCAGCCATGAGAGCATATCTTAAAAATAACACACACACAAAGGGACTGGCAGAGTGTCTTCCTAACAATCCTCAGTATTGCCAAAAAATTGCCAAAAATATGTTTTAGAAAAGCATAAAAAGATCCTAGTAAGAAAACTGGGTCTATACTTCCCCTACATAAATAGCCCTTGATTTCCCCTGATTGTTTCTGTAGATGGTTTGCTTTTCTATTAGGTTTAAGTGTCCGTATCTGGTTTGTTTTGCTCATGTATAACACTTGGGTTTGATTCCACATACCTTGTGAGGTTTAGACCTATATAAGCTTTGTGCTAGCTGCATTCCAGGCTGCTGGTCTTTGAGTCAAGAGTCTACCAGCAGTCCTCCGACCCTCCAATAAAGACTCATAATTTGGCCTTTTAAGTGGTGGCTTCTCTGCTTCTCGCAACTGAGTTTCCTTACAACACTAGCTACTTAGAAGGCTGAGATCTGAGGATCGCAGTTTGAAGCCAGCCAAGATAGGAACGTTTGTGAGACTCTTATCTCCAATAAACTACTAAAAAGACAGAAGTAGAATTGTAGCTCAAGTGGTAGAGCGCTAGCCTTGAGCAAAAGTTCAGCAACAGAGCCGAGGTCCTGAGCCAGGACCAAAATACACACACAAAAAGCATAGAGGCTTTTAAAAAACATAAAAAAACATTTTTTAAAAAGCATAAAAGCAATCTAAGCCCACTCGGCTTAGCTGATTAGCCCTTTTTGGGACCAAGGACACAGTTCAATAATTCAAGGGCAACTTCTCAAGTCAGCTGATTTGTCTGCCCTGTAGAAATATGACCCAAGGTGTGACAGAGCAAGGTGAAAGTAGCTCCACTAAAACAAGAAAGAACAAGAAAGATCAGAAACTTGGGAAGAATGCCCAGATGCAAACAGGGTTATGGAGGGATTCTAACAGTTTGGACACTGTACCTTTTAACTGTCTAGTTTGTACACTGCATCTTTTAACTGTCCTGAGTTGAACAGAATGCTTCAAGAATATGGTATGGGATCATGCAGGAGAGGGTAAGCAAGAGCTCACATTCATTGGCCAGAAAGGCTCTCATAGATGAGGTGGTTCTTGGTCCACTCAAGCATGAAAGAATCTACCTATATCGATCTACTGAGCACCATAATCTATTCCTGAGGTGAGGTACACATACAAGATGATTTTAGTGGTATATCATAAATTTTATTTTTAATAGTTATATTTTCATTTAAAGATATATGTAGGGCTGGGAGTATAACTCTGTGGTAGAGTATCTGCCTAGCATGTACATGGCCCAGGTTTCAATCGTCAGCAAAGAAAAAAGAAAAAAAAAAAAGAAACAAAAAGATGTGGGTCTATAAGTATACAACTGTATATAATGAAATATAAAATTCACGGATATAATATCTGATTAGCAAAATGGTAAATTTTAAAGAATGACTTCAAAGAAAATATTAAAATAATAACACACAGTACATGATATAGCAAAACTAAATTGTGAATTAATATGTGAATGTTTGAAGTTTTAAAAAACAGTGGTTTTTACTACTCCTCTTCCATAAATTGATTTTGGACATAGGTTTTGAGGGGTGGGGAAAAAGGAGATTCATAAACACAAGAACCATAGAGATAAATCAGGAGGAAAGCAAAATCAGCATTGTATTTAGAGTCTAAGAACCAACAGAAACTGTGTCGTTAGAAGATATTTCCTAGAAAAATCACAACTTTAAACAATGGTGTCAATTTGTCAAGAAACTCACTGTAGTCAAAACAGAGTTCTGTCCTGGAGTAAAGGTCCTCATTCCTAACAAAAGTGATGTCCTCAGAGCATGCACCTCCTAGTTGTCTTGTCACTTGGGTATTTCCTGTTAGTCTTGTCTGCAAACAAAATGGCTGTCTGCAGAACTGACCAAGGGCCCAGGCATCTGACAAGCTGGTAGCCTGATAAAAGGTAAGAAAATCATGGGTAAGTGACCATCTATGAATATTGAATTTGACAGAAAAACATAGAACAGTAGCCTATCTTTGATTGCCTGCTCTCTTTCTCATCTATCTATTGTTCCATTTTAAGAATTTCTGTTTCTGATCAGTATCCTTAACGCTTTTCTTCCAATTTCTGACTGAAATGCTTCCTAATTTGGATAAAACCACCTTTAGATACACAGCTAGCAGTCAAGTTTATGTAGATCAGCCACAAGGGCGGGCTTTGTCCCAAGGCTTGAGTTTCCTTAGGAACCTTAGAATCCAGCAAGATTCCCCCACCCAACACCTGTCACCTGTAACTGGCACACCTGGGGGCAGTGGGCAGGCCCCCAGGCTCATCCTCTGAGGTCACTTCCTCTTATACTTCAGCCACACTTCTTCCCTGCCCTCCCCCATATAATCTTTCTCCATAAATTCACCCCCTTCTCACCTCCATCTGATGCAGGCTCTGCATATAAACATCTGGTGCAGGCCAGAGGTTTGTTTTTCCAAACAAACTCTCCTTTGCCTGAACAACCATGTAGAGGTCTCCTTTCTCCAACCCTTACATCCCTGAGGTTTTTGTGTTTTTCTTTGTTTGTTTTTTCTTTTTCCCCTCAGTCTAACTTTCTACCACTTGAGCCATAGCTCCACTCTGGATTTTTGGCAGATAATTGAAGATAAAAATCTCACAGACTTTTCCTGCCTAGGCTGGCTTTGAACCACAATCCTTATATCTCAAGTCTCCCAGGTAGCTAGGATTACAGATGTGAGCCATAGGCACCCACTTTCTATCTTCAATTTTTAAAATATAATATTATTATTATTACTATTATTATTATTATTGAGTTGTATGCTGGGTTAAAGTTCCATAAGTCAGATAATGAGTACAATTCTTCTTGGACCATGTCACCCCTTCCTTCTTTTTCCTTCCTATACTTGATTTTTGCTAGCCTGGGGAGAAAAGTCTGAGACACTCTTATCTCCAGTTAAACACCAAAAAAGCTGGAAGTGGCGCTGTGGCTCAAGGGGTAGAATGTTGTTAGTCTTGAGCAAAAAGCTCAAGGACAGCGCCCAGACTCTGAGTTAGGCCCCAGGATAGGCACAAGAAAAAAGAAGAAAGAAAGAAAGCAGAGGTTAGCTTACGAGTGGGTGTTATCATGAAGCTAGAGGCCCAAGTAGTTGGTTACTCTGGTAACAGAAGGAAAGCAAAGCTCTTTGCTTTTGTCTACTATCATAGTTAAGAGGGCAGTTAGTGGCCACTCAGAGGCTCTGAGAGCAATTCACAGCTGTGCCTCACTTTAGAGTGTGTGTGTGTGTGGTGTGCTTTAAGCCCTTCGGTGCAGAAGTAAATTTTGCCTTGTGGAGTTCAAGGAGTATCCCTATTTTTTTTTTCTAACAGGAACTCCGAGAATGTATACTAAGTCTAACTACAGTGAGGTAGCAGCCTTGACCCACTTGCCTTTACCTGGGTCAGAGAGCCACTGGGCTCTGGCAGTCCTGGGTAGGAAAAAGATGGAGCAGCTCATCTGAGGCAGAGCCCCCAAAAGAGACTTAGCTATACTGCCTGGGCTCTTCTGGGTTTCTCTGAAAATAATTTAGCTCTTACTCCTTTTTTCCTTAGTCACCCTTTTTAACCAATCCAATAAGTTTCTGTTGCAAACCCTGCATACTGTTCTCTCTGTAGACCCTCTGTTGAATGCTGGGATAAAGAGAAATAATATGTAGGTCCATGTGAGACTACAGTCTACCTAGTCTCATGATAATAGGTTTCTTCCAAGCTGGGAATGTAGCTCAGGGGCAGAGGTAGAATATTTGCGGCATGTTTGGGAGCCTGGATTCAATTCTCAATACAGGGAGAGAGAAAGATAGAGACAGTGGCAGAGAGATACTTTCATTTGGTTATGTGAAATTTACCTCAATAATAAAGAATCTTAAAGCTACTCAACTATATGCTTTACAGTTATCAAAATGATAAAATTTGGGCCAGGAGCTACCTTGGCAGTCAGGAACACAACAGTTGCTCAATGATGTTTGATGATTTTAGTTGCTATGTGAAACTTTTTGTTGCTGTTGTTTGGTGGAAGGGTTTTTTTGTTGTTGTTGTTGTTGTTTATTTTTGGCGCTACTGAAGTTTGAACTCAGGACTTCACATTTGCTAGGCCAACACTCTACTAACTTGAGCCACTTCCCAGTCATTTCTTGTTTTTCACTCCAGTGGGAGGGGCTTAACAGTTATCCACCCTTGAGATTTTTTTTTTTTTTTTGCAAACATTTTTTTGGTGTCCAAGAGTCACTTTTTTCAAATATCCCCCATCCTCCAGGATAAGTGTCTTTATCACATCCTTGCTCAGTTCCCAGACAAAACTAATTATTTGGGCAAGCAGACAGAATCAGAAGAAGAGAGCTGTTCTTTCACCCTTCACCCTCTTTTTTCTTTTTACAAAATTTTGTGATTTATGAGGGATTATAAGGTTTAAAGGGGGAAAAGAGATGTGCTATTCTTTAATACAGGGTTTATCTCTAAATTCCTGGTTCCAGTTTCCCATGCCTTATTTTCCCTAATCTAACCTGCTTCAAATCCACAATCCTCTAATCTCTGCCTCTGGAGAAGCTGGGATTATAGGCATGAGCCATTATGTCTAGCCTTAACTGTTTTAAAGGTAGTGCTAAAGAAGCCTTCTTTTGGTTGAAAGCAGAGGATTACAGAGAGCGTGGATTCAAATCCCAGACTAACCACCTTTGTATCCCTTTCTGTGTAGGTCTTGTTCAAAGTACTTTAGAGTAACCATGCCTCTCATAGGGTTGTTTCTAAGGCCCAAGTGCGTGAAGTATCTGGAATGGTCTTTAGGACACAGGAAGTACTCAACAAATGTCAGCTGCTATAATGAGGGTGGTAATCTCAACTTGGCCATTTTCACCAATATTTACCACACTAGCTTTCTGTCTCACCTCTTGTGCTGCAGATACCAGGTTTTGATAGGAAAAGAGCCACTGTCTTTAGATCACGCTAATGACCAAATGAGAAAGCTTGCTGGGGAAATAACTCAGTGGTAGAAGGCTAGTATGTGCAAGGGCCAGGGTTCAATTCTCAACCCTGCAATTACAAAAATAAAAAATTAGAAACATCAAATGAGGAAGCTGCTTGTGAAATTCTAAGAAAGCTCCAGCAACATCTTTTTTGACTTTTATCACTATCAAAAGCAAAGTTCCCAGGGAATAGATGCTATACAAAATAATTAGAATAGTTTCTGTTCCCTTTGGCTGCTTGTACAATTTAGCACATTTATTATAAGCTCTCTTTCTCAGTTATCCCATGCAAGACGATGGGTCTGTCCTGCCCCTCCCCTACCAGCAAGACTTCAGTATTCTATGATGTGCTAGAGACTTGGAAATAGGGGAAACATCCCATGCACAGCTGCTCTAAGCTCACAGATCCACCCTGTAGAGCCATCATGAGGTTTAGGAAACATCTCACCCACATCTCTAAACCTATCTCCTGCCCATGCTTAGGCTACACCTTTGATTTTTTTTAGATCATTGTTATAAAATAATTAAAATTATTTAGTATGATAGTGCATCCCAAAGGACAGGAAACCAAATGGTATCAAAAGGATATGCCATGACAAGAAAAACTTCTATGCTCCCGCTTTCAGATCCCTGTTGTCAAGGAGAGAAGCACCGTCCTTCCCCTTTTATCCTTCTGTGCAGATAGGTGTGTGTTTTTATTCTTACTGCCTCCCTTATGCATATTTTAGCATAAATTATTGCAACTATACTACGCTTTTTTTCTTTTACTTAATTATTGTGATAATCTTCATATATGTTTTATGGGACTGTGTTCTTTTTAATGGCTACATTTTATTCTGTTTTATAGGCCTAAAAACCTATCCGTTTCTGATGGGTTCCAATGTTGTTGTTGTTGTTGTTTTAACAAGCAAAGTCACAATGAATGGCTTTTCAGAAGGAAATAAGAATTCCAGCCAGGCGCAGGTGGCTCATGCCTGTAATCCCAGCCACTCAGGAGGCTGAGATCTGAGTACTGCAGTTTAAAAGCTAGCCCTGGCAAGAAAGTCCGTGAGATGCTTATCTCCAATTAGCCACAAAAGCCAGAAGTAGAGCTGTGACTCAAGTGGTAGAGTACTAATCTTGAACACAAAAGCTCTGGGATACTGCCCAGGCCCAGAGTTCAAGCCCCAGGACTGGCCAAAAATTTTAAAAAGGAATTTCGTTTCCAAAACATGTTTTGGGGAGTGTGGGGACACAGAAATGGAGTGAGCAAATGTAGTCGTTATAGTCAATGTATATTATGTAAAAAATTGACTATGCAACTTAAGGGTAGAGATGGGAGGGAGAAAGTAGGGAAGAATGAAGGAAAAGGTGACATTGACCAAGAAGCATCATATTTATAACCCGATTTATGGGAATTGTAACTCATTTGTACAACTACTTAATAATAACAATAATAATGATATGGTGGAGGAACTAAAAATGGAATATAATATTTGACTTGGATTATGTAAAATGGATAATGAATGATTTTAAGGATAAGCCTTCCCTGGTAACTAGCTATTTTAGCTAGTTACTGTAATTGTAACTCTGTAACTCCGTAACTCTGTAATTCTGTAACTCCACTTCTGCTGTTTTCTGAGCAATGAGAGCCCTAACCCAGCTGAACCATAACCACCCTTTGTTCTAGTCTCCTGCTTCCGGACAGCAAAACCTTGGTGGGAAACTTAAGGTGCGAATTCTTGTAACAATCATTGGCTAAAATCAACACCCAGCCTCCCCCTTTCTCTGCCCTAGCCCAAAATGCTTAAAAGCCGATGTAGGCTGGCAGTAGGGGCCGTTTCCTGGGATTCCTGACTCCAGGTGCGGTCCAGGCACATTAGCACTTTTTGCTCAATAAAATCTTTTACATTTTCACTGCAGACTGAGTGGTCTCATTGTCCCTCCCCACTACAATAATAATTTTAAAAGAAAAGCATTGCTACCTTAAGACAACAAATAATAATGTCAGTAATATATCTTATATGAAAGAGAAATTTAACACTCTTAAATGTAACTAAAATTTGAATACCTTTGAAAACTTTATTTGTATTGTAACTGAGTATTGTTATTGGAAAAATTCTCTCTGCTAGTTCTATCTTCCATATTAAATGCTTGTAACAGTTTCCTAATCATACAAAGGAAAAGGAAACCCCAAAATAAGGATATACAAAAAAAGATTAACTTTTGCTTTACCTTAAAATGCATATATTTTAGAAAGGTTTTTAATTTATATGAAATGAAAAATTCAGCAACATTTAAAGAGAAAAGCATTTACACACAAAAATAACAGATAGCCTAACATTCTTCTTCAAGTATATTATCCCTTGATGTGATAAATTTCATTAAAAATGGGTGTAATGAAAGTAATCTTTAAAATTAAGTAGATTGGGGGGACGGGAAGAATTCAATTTTCTTTGGTGAAAATTGGGCTTCCTCTCCCTTCCCTTTCCACTTTACCCCAGAGTTGATTATATATGTAAGACATATCTTAGATTTTTTTTCCTGTGACTTGTATTGATTTTTTTTCAGGATACTCTAAATGTCTTGTGTGCAGCTATTTTCAGTACATTCAAAATTTTGTCAGAGCAAATTTTCTTCCAAGGTAATTATAATGAACGCTTAAGTCACTTACATAGTAGCGCTTTGCTAAAAGTGCTGCCAAGTAAGGATGTGACCAATCTCTGATGGTCTGCTGCAAGTTGGGCTTTGAAGGAACAGCTAGAGAGACCGAGAATGAAAGGTACCCATCTTCCTACTCAGGAAAGTTTTTCTTGGCACAAGTCCTAAGTCATGAATTAGAAAATCTAACACTCAGTACACATGTTCTGAAAAACAGCCAATCAGCAATAACCTCAACCCCAGTAACTAGGCTGCAGAGTCAGAAAGACAGCCAATCCATGGCAGACCTGCTATATGTCAGCCAATCAGCAAGTGTCTAGCTGGTGCTGGAATTTCCAAAAGGGAATCAAAGGCAGCTTTACTCCTGTGTGGTGTTTACAGCTGGAAGTCCTTAAATCCCTCAACACTTCCTCTTCTGAAACCCTACCAGCTGCTAAAAGTAAAAAGTCAGTTTTAGGGTGTTGTGAAGATTTTGCTATAAAGTACAGTTTCTCTTAAAGGGAAATAGGAATTTTTCTTCTTTTACACCACATGCTACATTCAATTTAGTGCAACACTTCTAACATCTGGATTCTTCCTCCCCTACATACATCATTTATGATTTTATGAGTCCAGACTTGGGAGAGACAGATGCAAGAAGTGCTGTGAATTTAGCACATTATCTTTTATTCTTGCCGTGGTTTCTGTTATCTATGTTCATTTGTGTATATATAAATCTCCAAATGCCAAAAGAACAGGTGTAAATTTTCTAATGAATATTTATTAAATGAAGAAAAATTCATTTCAAAGTTCTTTGTGGTTTAATGGAATTTTTAATATAAAAATGGTGGGAAGTAAACTAGCACGTAAATTTAATCATAAACGAAATGTATGAGTTCCTCAATTAGTATGAAAGGAACTGGTAAATTCATCATCTTTTACAAAAATTCAGTCTAAATTTCTTTTCAGACTGGTATAGTGGTACAAATCTACTTGTCCCAGCACTTGGGAGGATAAGGCAGGAGGATTGCAAGTCCTGGTCAGCCTGGGATAGTACATAGCAAGGCTGTGTCTCAAAAAGAGAGAGGGGGCTGGGAATAGGAAGAAAAACAAGAAAGAGAAAGGGGAAGAAAAACTGTAGGAGAAATAGTTATAACGGCTTTCCACACCGTATATTGTCATGAGTCTTTCAGCTAAAATAAATGTTTGGATGTACTATCAGCAACATTTTCTTACAACAAAATTGCAAGTCCATCTTCAGATGCTAGGATAAAAATCTACTGTCAAAAAATGGCAATAGCCAGGCACCGGTGGCTCACACCTGTAATCCTAGCTACACAGGAGGCTGAGATCTAAGGATCACAGTTCAAAGCCAGCCTGGACAGGAAAGTCTGTGAGACTCTTATCTCTAATTAACCACCAGAAAACCAGAAGTGGTGCTGTGGCTCAAGTGGTAGAGCACTCGCCTTGAGCTGAAGAGCTGAGGGACAGCACCCAGGCCCAGAGTTTAAGCCCCACGACTGACAAAATAAAATAAAATAAATAGCAATAGTTCCATTATTAAATATCTAAACCCCTTATTTTATATCATAGCCACAAATATAGAAACACCTTTTAATAACAAAAAATTCCCTTAATGTAGTGTTTATCTCCTGAAAAAGACTTATTTATAAGGCTTATAAATAGAATCCAGATGACCCTTCATTAGCAAATTTTTGCAGACATTTTCATTGTGTTAGCAGTTAATGAGACAATTATACGGCTTTTGTTGGATGTAATACAAGTAAACCTTTGGTGCATGCTTGCATAAAAGTACAAACAATGCTTTCTTAAAATTGAAGCAAAGTGGAAGGGCTGGGGGGGGGGGAGGAAGGAGTATAGTTGAGGAGGTGGGAGGGAAGGGATGGTAGGGGAAAAAACAAAGGAGGAGGCAACAGTGCTTGGTAAGAAATGTACTTATTACCTTGTTCATGTAACTAACACCTCTGTACAGTATTTTCACAATAAAAAACTTATTTAAGAAAAAGTTAATAAATAAAAAAAGAATCATTAGTTGTGATAAAATGATGATGAGTCTGAGAATCGCGGTTCAAAGCCAGCCCGGGCAGGAAAGTCCCTGAAACTCTTATCACCAATAAACCACCAGAAAACCAGAAGTGGTGCTATAGCTCAAGTGGTAGAGCGCTAGCCTTGAACTAAAGAACTAAGGGACAGAGCTCAGGCACAGAGTTGAAGGCCCATGGCCAACCAAAAAAAAAAAAATTATGATGAGGAAACAACTAATGTGATAAATTATTTGTAATCATTTGAAAACAAATCTAATAAATATTTGTGTATATAGTCTAAAATATTGAAGCAAAACATGAATGATTTTATGAAAGATGCCAGCAGTTGCCATATTCCCCACAATGTCACACAAATAGCACTGAATGCCTTCCATTAAACTGGGGCTTGGAATGTGGCTTAGTGGTAGAGTGCTTGCCTAGCATGCATGAAGCCCTGGATTCCATTCCTCAGTACCACATAAACAGGAAAGGCTGGTACTGGCTCTGAGGCTCAAGTGTTAGAGTTCTAGCCTTGAGCAAAAGAAACTCAGGGACAGTGCCCGGGTCCTGAGTTCAAGCCCCAGGACTAGCAAAAGAAAAAGTTATCAAACTAAAATTCTAAAAATGAAGAGCTCAGTTGCCAAGATAAAATAATCAAAAGCCCAGCTAACAGAAGTTGAAAAGAGGACATCAAGAGCTGAAGAAAGTGAGGGAAGGAGTGACACTGTCCAAAAAGAAATGTATTCATTCCCTGATTCATGTAACTGTAATCCTTCTTTACATCACCTTTATAACAACGTTTTTTTTTTTGTCGGTGTGGGGCCTGAACTCTGAGCCTGGGCGCTGTCCCTCAGCTCTTCAGCTCAAGGCTAGCACTCTACCACTTGAGCCAAAGTGCCACTTCCAGCTTTTTCTGCTTATGTGGTGCTGAGGAATCAAACCCAGGGCCTCATGCATGCAAGGCAAGGACCCTATCACTGAGCCACCTTCCCAGCCCTAAATTAAATTTTTTAAAAAGTTGAAGTTAAGCCCTGCATAGATGGTTCATGCCTGTAATCCTCATTACTCAGGAGGCTGAGGAAGGTGGTTCAAAGCTAGCCCAGACAGGAAAGACTGTGAGGCTTATCTCCAATTAATCACCAATAAGCCAGAAGTGAAGCTGTGGCTTAAGTGGTAGAGTGCTAGCTAGTACTTAGGGACAGTGCCCAGGCCCTGAGTTCAAGGTCCAGACCACCACAAACAAAAAGAAAAACAGTTGGAGATAAAGCAGAGGAATTTCATCAAGTCAAAACCATTTAGAGCCAGGTACTGGTGGCTCACACCTGTAATCCTAGCTACTCGGGAGGCTGAGATTCGAGAATGGCACATTTTGAAGCCAGCCTGGGCAGGAAAGTCTGTGAGACTCTGACCTCCAATTAACCACCAGAAAACTGGAAGTAGCTTGTGGCTCAAAGTTGTAGAGCACTAGCCTTGAGCAAAAAGAGCTCAGAGACAGTACCCAGGCCCATGTTCAAGCCCCATGAACCACCCCCTGCAAAAACAAAACAAAACTACTTAGAAAATACCAAGAAAGGGAAAGAGATGGACCTAGAACAAATCATGTTAAGTGAGGTAAGCCAAGCTCAGAAAGACAAATTGCTTATGTTTTCTCTGAGAAAGCTCAATCTAAAATACACTAGGACATGTTAAATAATACAGGAGTGAGTCTAGGCAATCACACACAGTGAGACCAAAGGAAGATATTCTCAGGGGAGGAACACAAAGGCCTATGTGCCTCTGATCACATAAAATAGCATTTGTCAAAATTAACTCCTGGAAATAGAAAAAAAGGATTTTTACTTTGTTGTTTTTCTTTTCTTGTCATGTTTGTTTATTTATCTGTGTTTGGTAGGGTAAGTGGGGGACACAGAAATGGAAGGACAAAGGATTAACAAATGAAGCAATGTGCTGAAAATGAACTATACAACTTGTGGATGGGGATGTGAGGGAAAAACTGGGAGAGCACTAGAGAAGGAGTGATATTGTCCAAAAGGAAACATGCTCTTTCTCTGACTTACATAGCGAGAGCCCCTCTGTACATCACCTTTATAATAATTTAAAAAACATTTACAAAAAGAAAGTATCAAGAGGACTTACAGGACCTCTCAGGTGCCATCCATCAAAAGAAGAAATAAAAATTAAAGGCATTAGGAGCCTAGTCAATAAAGTAATTTAAAACTTCTTTAATCTCGAGAAAGTCATCCTAGTGACAGAAGAACACCAAACAGGCAAGCTCAGAGAAGAAACACTCCTAGATGCATTATAGTTAAAACACTAAATATACAGAGTAAAGAGAGAATATTGAAAATCACAAAAGAGGAGACAAGTAACTTACAATGACAAGCCCATTAGAATAACAGCAGATTTCTCAGAATAAACACTAAACACTAAGAGGACATGGACAAACATGATTCAAACCCTGAGAGACAACTACCAATATATAGACTATTGTACCCAGAAAAGTAACCTTCATAACTTATGAAGAAATTAAAATGTACCAGGATAAATAAAAGCTAGAGAAATTAATGACTACTAAATTGCACTGCAACCAACACTTAAAGGAATCAATTTTAAAGGGTGCCAAATGCTTGACTTTTAAAACAATCTCCTGAATGAAGCCTACTTATTTCTTTTGTATTTTCAATGCCAATTTAATAACAAGATTGTCTAAACTGAAAAAAAAAAAGAATGCCATCTGAGTACACAACTGCTAAAAGAATAAAAGTTGAATGGCATCACTCCTTTTTGTCAGTGGGCAAAAGTTATTGAACAGAATACTCACTGTAACCCTGAAGAATAGGAAAGCAAATTATGCCAGGAAAGATGGAATTATGTACTTTAGCTGGTCAAATATAAAGAGCAATTCTCACAGTTGTATTGAGTACATGTTACAGTATATAGGCTCATAATGCTAACCTGAGTGTGATTTCTCATTAAAGAATATTCAAGCCCAAAGAACAAAGTAAGTTGGATGAGACCACTGCAGAATCCAATTAAATGTAAATCGAACAGACTATGACTGCAAGGGATTTTATAAGCAAATTCTGTAAAATAGTGAAGATGAATCTAGAAAAACTAAATAAATCTAAAAAGAGAGGTATGTGATTTGTTTGCGATTTACTTCAGATAAATAATGAATGTTTGTAATGTCCCAGAGAAGGTGATTCCAGAGAGGGCAGAAGAAAGCTTTTGTATCTTTAAAGTGACCCATCCCAGAAGATACATTCATCATTTCCACCATGTTCTACTGGCCGCACTGGTTGTCCCCAGCCATTGTGGGCTGGGACTATCTAAGAGGGTAAGACATTAGAGGCCAACTTCAGAGGCTCGCTATCACACCTAATTACTAAAATTCATTTAAAAAGTTAATTTCTAGAGCTTAGAGATCTGTAAGAGTATGTATGAGATGTTTACTGTTATTACTTTAGAAGCTCAAACAGTATAGGTACATTCTTTTCTTTATTTCCTTCTTTCTCTTTTACTTATCTTGTCTTTATTGGATCTCTTGTTGCAACACCAGGGGGCAGCAATAGAGAATTTTCCTGGCTGCTTACCAATGCCTTCTTACATAGCCAGAAAGGGGGTGTCACAAGAGTGTGTACACCCAGGGTAGTCCCTTTGTACAAATGAAGGGCTGTGTCTGTACCAGTCACGAGACTTCTGCTGAACCATCACAAAGTGCTCCATTTTGGGTCTGGGTAGAAATGCTTCAGCATCATCTAGAGTTCAGAGAGGCTTAAGTTGTATTTTATAAAGAGTTATATTTAACTGAACTCCTGACATAGAGATAAGGGAACTATGTTCTTTTGTAAGCCTGGGTAGGGGTTTGTGATCTCACCAACCCATAAAGCTTAGCAGAATTGGTGCTACGTAACTTCTCAGACTAGGTCATAAAGCCATTTTTGTCTCTCTGTATGTTTGCTTTTGGACCCCAGGCACCATTTATGAGAAAGCCCAGGGCATAAAAAGAGGCCACTTGGTGAACACCAATTGCCAGACGTGAGGGTCAATGAGCTTTCCTATCAGTTCAGTTCTAGACTTTGAGTCTTTATTTAAAGTTCCAGACATACGTACTTTGCCCTGTTTTTTTTTTTCTTTCTTTCTTTTTTTGTCAGTTGTGGGGCCTGAACTCTGGGCCTGGGCGCTGTCCCTCAGCTCTTCAGTTGTAGACCAGCGCTCTACCACCTGAGCCTCAGCCCCACTTCCAGCTTTTTCTGCTTATGTGGTGCTGAGGAATCCAACTGAGGACCTCATGCATGCAAGGCAAGCACTCTACAACTGAGCCACCTTCCCAGCCACGTGCCCTGGTTCTTTCTTTCTTTCTTTCTCATTCCTCCCTTCCTTCCTTCCCTCACTCTCTTTCTTGCTCTTCTTCCTTCCTTTTTCTTTCTTTCTCTTTCATTCATTCTTTTTTTTGTTAGATAAGGTGTCACCATGTGGCCTTCTGATTGTTGAAATTACAGGTGTGACCACTCATGCCTCTTTAAGCCATCTGAATTTCTAGCTCACAAAAATGATGGAGACAGAGCAAGTTTACCTAAAAGTGAAAGGAAAGCCACAAAAGTATTTAGACTCTCCATTCTGAGAGGGGCCACAAATATATATATATATATATATATACACACACACACACATATGCATATATACATATAAGCATATATATACATATACATAATATATATATAAATACACATAGTATGCGTGTGTATTTTGGTACTGGGGTTTGAATTCAGGGTCAAGGCACTGTTTCTTAGCTTTTTCATTAAAGGCTGGAGCTCTGCCACTTGAGTCACAGCTCACAGCTTTTAAAAAATGTATTTATTTTCCTGCTCACATTGGCTTTGAACCATGATCCTCAGATTTCAGCCTCCTGAGCAGTTTAGAATTACAGGTGTGAACCACTGGTTCCTAACCAGTCTAGGAGATTCGTATATCTGGGTTAGTTACACAGTTAGGTGAATAATGAATACGTTAACATATTTTGTTCTCTTTCTAGTTAGAGGAAATCTTGGAAGGATATTTTATTAACTATCACTTTGTAACAGATTATCCCTAAACTTAGTGGCTTACAACAATCATAATTTATAGGGATGCTCATATGTGTCACAGTGACCCATATTTAATAAACAGACCAGCCCCAATATTTCTGGGACTAATTAATACAACATTGCAACAGCAAGGATGATTAAATGTACCCGATGCCAAAATAAACTGTCCTTTTCCTAAAGTCAATTTAAGCCAAGCCCAACCCATTCTTTCACTATAAATACCCCTGATGTTAGAGCACTACTTATTGTATCTGTTATCAGATTTGCCCATACCCATGTTTGAGTTGTGTAATGTCCTTTCCTTGCTTTTGTGTTATTGATAAACTTCTTTGTCTCTACCTTGATGTGTGTGTTTGGTGTGCACACGCGCTGGTCCTTGGGTTGAAATTCAGGGCTTGGGCATTGTTCCTGAGAATTTTTGCTCCAAAGCTAGTGCTCTACCACTTGAGCCACAGCTTCACTTCTGGCTTATTGGTGCTTAATTGGAGATAAAGAGCCTCCCTGACTTGTCTGCCTGGGCTGGTTTTGAACCTCAATTTTTAGATTTCAGTCCCCTAAGTAGCTAGGATTCTAGGCATGAGCTTTTTTGGGGGGGGTCACAAATTTGGTATTCCAAGTAGGGAGGCCCCTTCCCTGGAACCTCATTGGTTCCATTAAGACCTTGAATCTCTGAACTCTATAAACCCAGTTCTCTGCATGTATAAAATGATCACAGCTGCCAACAGCACCAAAGCTCCAGGTAAAGCCTTGTATAATGCAAGATGTTACTGGTGACCACTCAAGTCTTTGCCACCATCAGAACTGATGGCTCCCAAATGTCCTCAGATGTCTGCTTCGCCTAACTGTTGATTTGGAAGAGAAAGATGGTCCATTTGTTGATAGTGTTCCAAACCACATCATAGCAGATGGGAGGTAACGCAGGCGATAGGTAAAACTATGGTTTTGACTTGGTATAGATGAAGCGATGAGTGAAGCCATTTGTACTCTTAGTCAAATTTATTTCTCTAAGCCTCAGTTTCCCAGACCAATAAAAATAATATAAAGTGGACTGGTGGCTCAAGTGGCAAAGTGCCAAATCCCTTTGTTCAGACCCCAGTAACACACACATACACACGCAAAAAAATAAGAGAGTAATAGAAAAGTAACCCCACCTCGCTGAGATTTAATGTTTGGTGATATAGGAAAGGTCAAATCTGTGACCTTTGGTGCACAACACAAACGCGGTATTACAGCGTCTCCACTTCTGTAAAGGAACAGCACAGCATACTCACAGAAAACAAGTTAGCACGTCCTCTACATTGTGAGCAATGGCGACTTCGGATGTGTGCACAGAGGCCTGCCTTTCTCTCTAGTATATACTGCTGCAAAATGTGCTCTTTCACACAAAGACCCCAGTTAGGGAAGTGGAGGAGTGACCCGAGTGAAGAGGGCCAGCCGTGCGTGCGTGCGTGCGTGCGTGCGTGCGTGCGCCAGGCCGTGCGTGCACGCTGGCCCCACACAACAGCAAAAATCCATTGCACTTCAATAACTGCACACCTACGTCCACAAGCGGCATTTAAACCAGCAAGCTTCGGGGGGGGGGGGAGGGGGTGGCAGGCCCGGAGCCTCACAGAGCCATTCTGCCCTTGCCATGGCCCCAGGCCTGGAGACTTCTTTTCCTTCCTCCAAACGCTCTGGCCCTTCGCGTCGCCCTCCACGGCACAGCAACAGCCTCCGACCCCGCCTCCCGCGGGCCAGGGCCCGGCGCGGCCGGTTCCCTCTCGCCCTCTCGGGGCGGGAGGAGGTGGTGGCTGCCGGAGACGACCGGCCGACGCCGGCGGGGGTCCAGGCCGCTGAGTCAGCCCGGCGGGCGGCGTGCGCACCGCGTGACTCGCGGCCACGTGATCCGTGATCACGTGACCTTGCAGGGTGGGGCGGGGCCGCCGCCGCTTTCGCTGTTGCAGCCGCCGAAGGCGTTCGCGTAAGTGAGGAGCGGAGCGGGAGAGCGGGGGGTGTCCCGGACGGCGTCCCCGGGCCCCGGCACCCCAGGACTGGACCCCGGCAGTCCGTTCTCGCCCCTCCCTGGGCGGGTGCTAGGGTGGATGTGATCATAATCGGGGAGAGGGAAACGCCGGACCCCCCCCCCCCCGACGGCCGCGCAGGCCGCCTCCGCTCTGGGCCTCCCACCCTTGGCGACCACAGTGCTGTGGGTCCGGACGCCCACCTCCCGGAGCGAGCACCCTTTCTCTTGGTTGTGCTTTGGAGGAAACTGAAAATCCGAAAGGATTCGCCTAGCCGAGCAGGCGGTGAGATCACCCCATTCTAATACCGGGAGAGGACACACCTCCCCAGGCAGAGCTGCCTCTCCTACCTGCTTCTGCGGCCCGAGACGGCCCTGGGGCTCCTCCACTCTGAGGGGTGGAAGGGGTGAAGGGTGCGGAGAGCCCATCCTAACAGCCGTTAGTAAACCGCTTGGTTTACGTGCATTCTTCACTGTACCCCCGAGTTAGACCGGGGAGATAGTACTGTCTCCCCTTTGACATAGGAGGAAACTGGCCAAGAGGGTCCCTGAGAACTCTGGTGCTGCTCTTGAGGTCCTCGAGCTAGTAAATGGGGATGCTGAGATTACCACCCAGGTCTGTTCCACAGTAGTGCCTCCTGGTGGTGATGGGGCCTCTCGGCCTCAGTTCTTAGTTCCTCTGTGAGCTGAAAGACAAGGCCTTTCCCTTGTCCATTTGGGAAAGAGATTGTTGCTGCCCCTCCTTACCATTGATTCTTTTTATCAGGACAAGATGAAGCTCATCATCCTGGAAAACTATTTGCAGGCCAGCGAGTGGGCAGCCAAATACATCAGGAACCGCATTATCCAGTTTCATCCAGGGCCAGACAAGTACTTCACCCTGGGTCTCCCCACTGGTATGTCATGGTGTGGAGGGGGTGCTGTGAATAGGAGTAGAGAGAGTAGGCATAAGTGGAGTTTAAGGGGCTAAGGGGATTTGAAAGAAGGGTTTCAGGTAGTAGGAGACAACAGCAGGGTCCTTCCTGGGAAGGAACTAGGCTTCCTTTATGTGTTGGTTTAATTGCTGCCTATTCCACTGGAATCATGGGACAGATGGCATCTTGGTTAGACAGGAAAAATTGATTTTTAGGTTATATCTCTGGCCTCATCATCCAGAGTTTTTTAAAAGAATTAGCCTTGTGCCTTAAAATACTCATTTTGTGAAATCAATTATTCTCTCCTCATTGTGTATTTTGAGGAATACTTGCTAAGCACTATTCTTGGAAGACTTGAGGTGACAGTCACTCAAATAATTTTCTATATGGTTTAATTAAGCACAAAAAATAAGTGAAAAAACAGTCCCAGTTTCTTCTGGAAAAGGCCAGAATGTTGCATTTATAGGAGCATGTTTTGGACCTAGTGTCTCCTGGTAAATGTTCTGAATAAATTCACAGGTGGATGGATTTGCACCAGTGATCTTAACTGTCCCATCCACTACAGACTTGACATTTTTTCAGTAAGTGATTAACCAGTAAATGTTTTATGCCTCACTGCTACAACTCCTCAACTCTGCTTTTGTAGCAGTGAAAGTAACCACAGATAATATATAAATGAATGAGTATAGCTCTGTGCCAATAAAAATTTACGGACACCAGGGTTTGAACTCACAAGATTTTTTGGTTTTTTGTTTTATTTTTTTTGGGGGGGGTCCAGTCATGGGGCCTGAACTCTGGGCATGGGCACTGTCCCTCAGCTCTTCAGCTCAAAGCTAGCACTCTACCACTTGAGCCACAGTGCCACTTCCGGCTTTTTTCTTTTTGCTTATGTGGTGCTGAGGAATCGAACCCAGGGCCTCATGAATGCAAGGCAAGCACTCTACCACTGAGCCACCTTCCCAGTCCCCTCACATACAAGTTTTATTTCATAAAATATTCTTTTGATTTTTAAAAACTAAAGTTGTAAAACTAAACAACTCATGAGCTTTACAGAAACCAGGAACAGGCTCATTTAGCCAAAGTTTGTTTAGCTCTGTACCAGAAAGAGGCTTGCAGGAGCATTGACTTCCTGTACTTGTAAACCCACCAGTGTCTTGGCTGCATAAACAGAGTTTCTCCTAACTAGAGCCACCCAACTTTCACCCTGTCAGAGTTGGGTTCTACTGTAACTACTCCTTACTTCCCATTGGCAGAATCAGATATAAGCTCCTCAGAGAGGCTCTTCAAGACCCAGCTTCTCCCTGTCACTCAGGCTTCAGCCTGCAGAGCTAGAATTGTTTGCTTCTGTTAGATGTAGCTCCAAGGAATAGGAACATGGTTCTGGATAGAAAGCACAGAAACCAACCAGCTGAGTTAAGCAGAAAAGTAGTTCATTGTGGGGAGCTCACAGAATTTGTGGGAAAGCTGTTTGGGAAATGGAAGAAAAGGAAGGAGTAAATTGTCCAGCTTAGGCATGGCTAGGGTCTCATCACAGGGACTGGCTGGGTTTTTTGGGGGGGGGGGGGGGGGTGGAGCGGCACTAGCTACCACCTTCACACATTCAATAGAGATTTATTAAGTGGTGTCTGTAAGCTATACAGTTATTGACTTTGGAGATAAAGCAACAAACAAAGGGTATAAATCCTGCCTTCAAAAGCTTCAATTACATTGGGAGTGACACAATAAACAAGATGATTGATAAAAATCTGAGTTTGTTAGATGGTTGTAAGATAGAAAAGGAAACATGAATCAGGAAAGAAGGTAAGATATGTTGGTGTCAGGGAAAGTCTCTCCAAAAATGATACTTAAGGTAAGACCTGAGAGGTGAGGTAGACATGCAGACACTTAAAGGAAGAAGATTACTGGTAGAGAGGAAAAACAGGTGCAAAGGCCCTGAGATGAAGTGCCCAGTGCAAGATCAGGAGAGCAGAGGGATAATCAGAGACCCAATTACAGGGTATATCACTAAGGACTGGTTATTAGAGAATGAAATGAAAAGCTCTTGATAGGTTTTGAAAAGAGGAGTGACATGGTCTTACTTGAACAGGTTTGTTTTTTTTCCTTCCATTAAAAAAATGTATATTTGAGGGGCTGGGAAGGTGGCTCAGTGGTAGAGCACTTGCCTTGCATGCATGAGGCCCTGGGTTCAATTCCTTAGCACCACATAAGCAAAAAGCCAGAAGTGGTACTGTGGCTCAAGTGGTAGAGCGCTAGCCTTGAGCTGAAGAGCTGAGGGACAGTGCCCAGGCCCAGAGTTCAGGCCCCACGACCAGACCCCCCCCCCCCCCCAAAAAAAATGTATATTTGGAAAAATTGAACTAACGGTGTAATACCATTCACCTAGATTTACCAATTTTTTCTATGGTTTTCTTTTTCCCTGATTCATAGGCTATCTGTACATGCATAATTTTTTTAAACCACTGAAAAGTTCTGACATTTTTACCTCTCTATATCTTTCAACACTTATCTCCTGAGAATGAAAGCATTGTCTAACCATCATAGACCTAAGAATAGGTATACCATCTCCTTCTACAATACCATCTATAAGCTATATTCAAAAATTTTCCTGCAGGGTACCAGTGGCTCACACCTGTAATCCTAGCTACTCAGGAGGCTGAGATCTGAGGATCTCGGTTCAAAGCCAGCCTGGGCAGGAAAGTTCATGAGACTCTTATCTTCAATTAACCACCAGAAAACTAGAAGTGATGCTGTGGCTCAAATGGTAGAGTGCTACCCTTGAGCTGAAGAGCTCAGAGAAAGCGCTCAGTTCACAGTTCAAGCCCCAAGCCCCATGACCGACAAAAAAAAAAATGTCCTTATTCCCCCATTTATCATTTATGGATAGTTACTTTTTAAGCTAATCCAATATCCAGTCAGTCAGGGTCCTTGCATCTTGAACTTTTTGTTTTGTTTTGTTGTGTTAGGGCCCTGTGAATGCTAGACAGGTACTTTACCACTTAGACCCACCTCCATCTATTTTTTTTTGGGGGGGGGGAGGTTTATGGGGCTTGACCTCAGGGCCTGAACACTGTCCCTGAGCACTTTTTTTTTTTTTTGCTCAAGGCTGCACTCTACCACTTTGAGCTACAGTTCTACTTCTGTTTTTGTGTGTGTGTGTGGGGGGGGGTTGTTTTGTTTTTTGTTTTTAAGGTAGTTAATTGGAGATAAGAGTCTCAGGGCCTTTCCTGCCCAGGTGGCTTCAAACCAAGCTCCTCATATCTCAGCCTCCTAAGTAGCTAGGATTGCAGGCATGAGCCATCAGCGCCCAGCTAGTCTTTTAATCTACTGTGATGCCTTCTGTATGTCCTATGGTATTCACTTGCTAAGGGACTCACCTCAGGAATTGGTTTGGGATGTCTTTCCTGATCCCTGAAGTATAGGGTAATCCCATCATTGGGGATAGTCTTGCTCTTTGTCCCCATTTCTAGACAACAGTACCTTCTAGGGTGCCTGCGATCTCTCTTCTGAACCCCCATCCATGGCCCTGTGCCCTAGCACTTTGTTGCTCAAAGAATATCATGTCAGTAGTTAAGTCTGATGTTCATTCACATACTGATCAGAGTGATTTCAGTCATCAGTATGTCAAGCATTGGGGAATTGGCAGCAAGACAGACACAGCCCTGCCCTGGGGCACAGGTAAGTAGTCTGGGACATAGTAGATATTGTACAAGCAAGTAGCAGATGAGTGTCAGTTGGAATTGAAGTATGGGGAAGGACTGCAGGCCTGACAAGTTCTCTGTGTGGAGCAGCCCCAACTTACTCCTGGCATTACAGAAGCTTGGTGCTAAAGAGGCATTCGTGGCTGTGGTGGTGTTTATAGCTAAGGTCTTTCTTACAGGGAGCACCCCACTTGGCTGTTACAAGAAACTAATTGAGTACTATAAGAATGGAGACCTGTCCTTTAAATATGTGAAGACCTTCAATATGGACGAGTATGTGGGTGAGTATCTTTAGTCTAGCTGTCAAGGAGGAATGGATATGTCACAGAGAGCCAGTGATTGGTGGTGATAGGCTCAGTTATCAATACCTATCTCTTCCAGCCTTGGTTCATACAGTTGTAAGATAGGGCTAATAAAACTGTCCTTATGGATTGTAAGCATTAAATGAGATGGACCTGAGAGCATTTTGTAAGTAATGAACCTTTAGTGAATCTAAAGTACCTCCTTCCCCTCTACCTGCCCTGCTCACCAAATTTTTTTCCCTGGTACAAAGTTTTGAACTCAGGGACCCTCACACTTGCTCACATTGGCTGCTTGGCTTGCTTAGACGGTGATCTACAGCTTGAGTCATGCCTCTGGCCCAACTTTTTTGCTGGTTAATTGGAGATAAAGTCTTTTGGACTTCTCTACACAGCTGGCCTCAAACCACCCCCCCCTGGATCTCAGTTTCCTGAGTAGCTAAAATCACAAATATGGGCCCCCAGTTCCCTGCTTCCATTTCTTTCTGGCCATATTCTTATAAATGGAGCTCTCCCTGGGTGTGTCTTCAGGGTCTGGATCTGAATTTTCTCTCCAGTATGCATCCATTAGCTCTACTTTTTGCCATGTATACTTGGAGGGGCACTGAGACTCCTAGACTTTCTGCTGCTGAAATTCTAGTTTTCTGTCACTTCATTCTGTCCCCCAATCATTTTTAATGGCCTCAGTTTTAACATACATTTCTCAAAATTGTTGTAAAATACATATAAATATCAGATTTACTAAATCAAAGGGTGTGGTTTGTGAGGTACTCAAGAAGCTGAGGCAGGAGGATCACTTAAACTAGGCGATCAAGACCAGCTTGAACAACATAACAAAACTTGTCGCTCAAAGAAAAAAAAAAGACCCATTTTTATATATACAGCTCATTAATTTTAGGTACATTCATTCACATTGTTGTACTAGCTAAGCTGCAGAATTTTCATCTTGTAAAGACTATAAACATCAACCCACAGCTCTCTATCTTTTCTTCCTGGGCTCTGGAAACTACCATTTTATGTTTCCATGAATTTGACTCCTCTCTGTACCTCATAAAAGTGGAATCATGAAGTATTTAATTTTTTGTGACCACTTCTTTCACTTAATATAATGACTTCCGAGGCTGGGAAGGTGGCTCAGTGGTAGAGTGCTTGCCTTGCATACATGAAGCCCTGGGTTCGATTCCTCAGCACCACATAAGCAGAAAAAGCTGGAAGTGGTGCTGTGGCTCCAGTGGTAGAGCACTAGTCTTGAGCTGAAGAGCTGAGGGACTGAGGGACAGTGCCCAGGCCCAGAGGTCAGGCCCCACAACCAAAAAAAAAAAAAAAAAAATGACTTCAGGGTGCATGCATATTGTAATATTTGTCAGAATTTCATTTTAAGACTGGTTTTAAATTTTCTGAGTATTTACTATTCAAACTCAAACTTTAACATTCTTTTTCTTTGTGCCTGAAAAGTCCATTGATAAGTACTGAGATAGTTGTTCTCAGCCACTTAATATTTTAAGCTGGGATTCAGCTTGAGTGCAGTACAACTGTAAGTGAATGTTGAGTGCAGTACAACTGTAAGTGAATGGTGAGATGAGAGGCACCCACATCTCTCACCAGTTAATGTATATAGTCCACTGAGTCAGCTATATTAGGCCCATTGTATTAGCTACTTTCCCTGAAGGGTCTGGTGTTACCCCAAGTGGCCAGGCCACCTCCAAAAGCCAAGAGTGTGCCAAGCCTCCAGCCTGTGGTCATTCCCTTGTGAGGAGGCGATAGAATGAGACTTCCAGGATCTAGGGGTTAGGTCTTCCAGCCCAGGTCTGTGGTAACAGGGTGGCTGTAACTGATTAGACACTCATTGATACCCTCTCAGCCTACCTTACACGGCTAGGGGTCAGATGGCTAGTGCCTAAAGATCCCTGATATCAGTCCCCTGATTGTCCTTGTGGGTTGACTTGGTGTCCTACTTGTGAAATGGACTCTAGTTCAGCTTTGATTTGACTGAGTGTCCTATGGCCTCTAGGCCTTCCTCGAGAGCACCCAGAGAGCTACCACTCCTTCATGTGGAACAACTTCTTCAAGCACATTGACATCCAACCAGAAAACACCCACATTCTGGATGGGAATGCTGCAGACTTGCAGGCTGAATGTGATGCCTTTGAGAAGAAGATCAATGCTGCAGGGGGTATTGAGCTGTTTGTCGGAGGTGAGCTTGGTGCTGTCCTGCATATGACCAGGACAAGACTTGAGGACAGGCATGCATGGGAAGAACAAGACACTACCATATCTGCATGTGCCCTCTGCTTCTGACACTGGGGTCATCTAACACCATGTGGGGGCAGGGAACGCAGAGAAACTGGGTGCTCTGGGTTCCTATCCTGGCTCTGCAGCTCAGGAACTATAAGTGTGAACTTTCTGAACTTTAATACTTTGTGGATTTGAACTCTGAGATTCTGTACTCTCTACTCTTAAGGCTTTACCGATTAGTCAATATAACATTTAAAACATTTTAAATCATGGACCTCATGTCATTCCAGAAGGTTCTATAGAGCCTCTTGCATGCTATCAGTAGCCAGCTGAAGCACAGTTTCTCTGTATTATGACTCTCCAAGATCATCTAGCCAGGAGCAGTGGTGAGTAGTCAGGAACCCATAGTGTTGACTTCTCAGATTTAGGCTGCCAGGTCTGGGTTTGTTGCTGCCTGGGGAGCCACCCATGGAGGTGTTTAGTTGGATAACCTTTCTTTTTTGTTTGTTTTTTTGGTGCCATTTCTGGGGCTTGAAACTCAGGGCCTGGGTGCTATCCCTGATTTTTTTTCCTTAAGGCTAGCATTCTACCACTTGAGCCACAGCTCAACTTACAGGTATTTCCTGGTTAATTGGAGATGTCTCCGGACTTTCCTGCCCAGGCTAGCTTCAAACTACTATATTCAGATCTCAGCCTCCTGAGTAGCTAGAATTACAAGCATGAGGGACTGGTGCCCAGCACACTAGGGCAAAGGAGTATAGGAACTTGCATAGTCTAAGATCATATAAACGTGGCAGCCATGCCTTGGTATTTGTGTGTGTTTTATTCATTGCAACTCTATCCCAAGAATAGGATCCCAACTCCAAGTTTGAAAGACAAAAAACTTATACTTCCCAGCAGACTAGGGAGGCAGAAACAGCTTGAGTGCTCCTTGGTTTTTTGAGTGATAGCAAGTTAACAATATCAGGTAGAAGCAGTTGGGAGGGGGCAGATCATGTGCTGAAGGTGTAACTATCTTCGAGTACAAAAGAGAAAAGACCATTTTTAGGAATTTTTTTTCTTCAACATTAGTTGGAAAGATGTTCTCTTATAAATTTCACATGGCTGCTCTGCCTGTCTCTCTGCAGGTATCGGGCCCGATGGACACATTGCCTTCAATGAACCGGGCTCCAGTCTAGTGTCTAGGACTCGTGTGAAGACACTGGCCATGGACACCATCCTGGCCAATGCTAGGTTCTTTGATGGTGATCTTGCCAAGGTGCCCACTATGGCCCTGACAGTGGGTGTGGGCACTGTCATGGATGCTAGAGAGGTAAGAGTATGAGGGTATTAGCCTTTATGAAGTTGGGGATGGGTATCTTTTGTTTGTAATTTTAATTATACAGGTACCTCCTAAAATACATTCTTACTGAAAATGAAGAAACTGTAAGAAAGGCTAAAATTCCACCAAGTTGTACCATACAAGCCTTCTGCCTTGGGAAATAACCATTATTTCTAGGGTGAGGTAAATCCTCTGCACAATTTTCCACTGCAGTCTCTCTGGCCTCTGCTATGTGCCAGAGAGGAGCACAGCACCACTAATGTGAATTTATGTACTGGGAGGTGCCCTCTATCTTTATAAGTGGTCACTATTTGAAAGGATGCCCTACCTACAACCCAGAGATGCTGTGGTTACCATCCTTGTGCTCAAGGGTGGTAAATGTGTGAGGTGTGGTTATATTAGGTCTTAATTTGAACTTAGGAAATTGTCACCTAGAAAAATGGATATCATTTCAATATAAGTTTTTTGTAGCTCCAGTGTCTTTACTCCTTCTGCTTAAATTTTAGAAGCATTTTCTTCTTGCTTTCTGAGGCATATTCAGGTATTTTACCTTCATATTTCTTTGCTTAAGTCTGTAAATAAGTATCTAAATCAGGGAAAAGTTCTTTATAAAGGGAGCTTTTGTGAAATGAGCACTGGCACCCAGATTTCCATCAGGTAACCTTGAATCAGTACCTTAGAGGCTGCTCTACTTGTTGTTTGTAAAGACAGTGATTTAGGAACCATCTTTATCTGGGGAAGTAAAGGAAACTTTCCAACATGAGCTCTGATTTGTTGAGACATTCTGACCTAATAATAGTAGAAATTTTTTTTAGGCTCACTCTCCAGCAGTTAACATTCTTGATACTTTAACTGTTAGAGAAAACTCTGCTTTTGGTTTATGGAAACAGAAAACCACACCAAGGCACTTTAGCACATTAAATGCTCTGAACTGACAGGGTTTACCTTAACTGGCAGCCTTGCTGAGATTCAGCCTTAGGATTCACAGATAACAACCACATTGCTTCTGAAGACTGCTGAAGGCTCCCCTGCCTCCCAGACTGAAGTGGGTACTTAGCTGTTGGGAGAAAAAGTTTGGCCTGGAAGCACGGGTTACTGTTAGGAGTCCCCATTTCCTTGACCCAAAACTTTGGGGAAATGATGCTGTTTACCTCTGGTTATTTGTGTGATAAAGTATATGGAACAAGCACCAAACACAGGATGTTGCAGGATAACCACTTACGTGACACTAAAACAGTAATCTGTACCACTAGGTGGTATGCCTGTACTAGAATTGAAGTAAGGACTTTTCCTTTATGGGCTTGTTTTCTGATCCCCAGGTGATGATCCTCATCACAGGTGCTCACAAGGCATTTGCTCTGTACAAGGCCATTGAGGAGGGAGTGAACCATATGTGGACTGTGTCTGCCTTCCAGCAGCATCCCCGCTCTGTGTTTGTATGTGATGAGGATGCCACCTTGGAGCTAAAAGTGAAGACTGTCAAGTATTTCAAAGGTGAGGGGGCAGGTATGGCAAGTTCAGGTGTTCTAGGAGGATTGACTTGTAGCCCTGGCTGGCCTCAACCTCAAAATCCTCCTACCATAGCCTCCCAAGTGCTAGAATTAACAGGTGATAGAAGCAGTCTATCACTGTAGCCACAACCCCAGCCACTGGATGTTACTGTTGAGAATGGCAAAACTCTTTCCCTTACATTAACTACTTTTTGGTATCTTCTTTTTTTTAGGTTTAATGCTTGTTCATAATAAATTGGTGGACCCTCTGTACAGTATCAAGGAGAAAGAAATTGAGAAAAGCCAGCCTTCTAAGAAACTGTACAGCGATTAGCCTGCATTGGAAACTAGTATCAAGTACCTCATAGGGACAGGCAGGTTCTTCTGAAAATTGTCTTTCAAATGGAATTCTTAATTCAGAATGTTTTCCACAGATAAATACATGACCTTATGGTTCTTGTCTGTGAGACGTGGAGCCTAGTCAGGGAGTTTAGCTATAGTGAAAATGACTTGTTTGTAACTTAATTAGAAAAAAAAAAAATCTATGAAAAGTGTATTCCATCATGTTAGTGTCTGCCACACCTAAGTTAGTTTTTTTAGCTTTTGATCTGCCTCAGCCAGTTTTCACAAGTACAACACACTCCCATCAGGAATTTCTTTCTACATGTGCACTTGTGGGCAGGATTCAGGGGCTTGTGTATTTTGGAGTAAGTTCTTTGAAGGACTGTGAGTGCTCCTCTTGAGCAGGCCTGCTCTTTAGTTAAGATTTGTTCCAGATTAAGGAACAAACTCTTTCAGTACCCTAATTGTATACAAGGAAGCTGTCCCTCCGGTGAGTACCCAGTACTGCAGGAAGAATGTTGTTCCTTGTTCCCTTTCCCTGACTGGTTCTTTCTGTTCTGCTCTCACAGCTGGCCTTCCCACAATCTAGGAGGCCTCTGTGGGGGAGCATTTGGGTAGGCGAGGAAAAGCCTTCAAGGTACCCAACCATCACACCAAACAGTTTTTCTTCCTATGGATCCTGGGACACTTTCCCCACAGATTTGTGTTTTGTTAAAGGTCTCCTTTGTAGTTATCAGTAAGAGGAGATGTAATGGAGCAACACACTGCCACGGTTTCAGTATTCAGCCAGGGTGACAGGCTGGCAAGCAGTTGGCTGAACACAAGTGCCATGCTCGCCTTTCCTGCTTCCTATAGAGTTGAGTGCCAAGGCCACACTCCAAATGCTTCTATTATTGTTTCTCCACTTAAAGTATCCCATGCCTTTTCAGGTCCATATTGTGTGGACCTTTCTGAATGTCAGGAAATACAACCTTCCTTCAGCCCTTGTTCCTAACATGGTTCACTGCTCTGCCTTCCTTTTACCCTGTAAGTCTTTGTGGAGTGGTTGCTGCCTCCTCTCTGTTTTTGTGCCTGTTTGAAGCTACTGCTGCCTATTTCTAGGAAAGGTTTTTCCAGGCCTCTCTAAGTACTGTTTGGTACCAGCATTTTGTCGTTAGCTTTTATACACAATTGTGATGTTCTGTGTTAAACTAATGGTTTCAATGAGTTTGTTTACAAGGTGAAATTTTGTATTAAATTCAGTATTTTCAAATGAAATGTCATGTGTGGGTTCCCACTCTCAGAGTGTGGAAGACTGTCTTCTGAAAACATCTATTTTGGAAATAGCCAGTGAGAAAAGCGTCTCACTCCATCCTTAAAAGACCTTGCAAGAAGGTGACAGGGATACCAACCATTTGTTGATCTCTCCTTCAACCATCAGGATAAAAAAAGACTTTCTACAAAAGAAGCACCTATGTGGGAAAAGGTGGGAATGAACAGATGAGCAATAAATTGTGATGTTTTGGCTATACTTGTAATCTGAACAGGGATATAGCTGTGGAAAGAATAAGTCAAGGTGTGGGCATGTAGCTCAGTGGTAGAGTGCTTGCCTAGTATTCACAAGGCCTGGTTGTCTCCCCAGCGTTGTAATAATACCAGTAATAATAATTGCAAATTTCAGTTGTTTAAAATCAATGCAGTAGAGTATCTTGAGTCAAAATAACCAATTATAAGGTACAAGTAAGGAGATGGGAAATTTTAACTTTTAACTTTTTAATTTTTAAAATAATAATTATTATTTTGTTGGTGGTGGTGATGGTGGTGGTCATCATGGGGCCTGAACTCAGCCTGGGCGCTGTCCCTCAGCTCTTCAGCTCAAAGCTAGTGCTCTACCACTTGAGCCACAGCACCACTTCCAGCTTTTTCTGCTTACGTGGTGCTGAGGAATCGAACCCAGGGCATCATCCATGCAAGGCAAGCACTCTACCACTGAGCCACCTTCCCAGCCCCAAATTTTAACTTTTATTGAGGTACAATATATATGCCATGAAATCTACCCATTTTAAATGTAAATGTAATGATTTTTTTTAAGTTTATGGAGCTGTGACTCCTTCCTGTCCATTTCTACCACTTCAAAAAAGTTCCTGGGTTCTACACCAGCCCCATGTAATCACTGACTTGTTTCCATTTTTTTCATAGTCTGTAGATTCCTTCCTTTGACTTTTTTGTGTTGGGGAAGTGTTTGCTTGAGATTAAACCTAAGGTCTTACACATGCTAATCACATGCCCTAACATAAAGTTACACCCTCAATCCCTACTGGACATTTCATATAGTGGGATTATGTGACCTCTCTAGTGTCTGGCTTCTTTCATTAAGCCTGTCTTTGCTCATCCACATAGTAGTGTGTGTGTGTGTGTGTGTGTGTGTGTGTGTGTGTACTAGGGCTTAAACTACATAGCAGTAGTTTGTGTGTGTGTGTGTGTGTGTGTGTGTGTGTGTGTGTACTAGGGCTTAAACTCAAGGCCTGAGCACTATTCCTTAACTCTTTTGCTCAAGTCTGGTGCTCTACCATTTGAATCACAGCTCTACTTCTGGATTTTTGGTGGTTGAGATAAGAATCTCATAAACTTTCCTGCCTGGGCTGGCTTCAAACTGTGATCCTCAGATCTCAGCCTTCTGAGAAGCTAGGATTTTAGGTGTGAGCCACCAGTATCCAATAGTCCATCCCTTTGATTGCTTGGTATTCCACTGTGTGATTAAATTTTGTCTACTCAAGAAGGGTCTCAATTTTAAGTTGGTATATTATGAAAAAAACATTAGAATGAAATGAAATAGGATTTAGTGAACTAAAGTAGAGACTATGAACTTGGAACCCTGAAAAGATCTGATTCCTCAGGTCTGTTTTCCTTGTAGCCCAACAGCAGTGTACTTCTGCAGATCAAGGTTGGGGTATCTACCTGGGCTTTTGGATCTGTATACATTTTGGGACAGGGCTCACAGGTGGTTGGTTCTAAAACGTTGTTAGAAGAATGTTTTCCAAGATGTCTAAGACTGTTGAGAACACAAAGTAGCCAGTTCAATGAATTTTCCCTGGCCAGGCTATGACAATTTGGGCAAAAGAGTCAGCCATAGCTGACTTTGTGAAACAATCTTGATAGAAATGAAAAGATAATATAAGTGTATTCAGAGTTTATTTCAGGAAGAGTGGAAGAAACAAAGTTCTACATTCAGTAAAAAGTGGCAATATACACAAATGGTTTGCTAAATACTTCCCAATCATACCTTGTAACAGTGCATCAAAAAGCCTCACTATTTGTTGAGTGATAAGCCAGATCATTCTCCCCAAGGGAGATAACCAAGGAAAAATAGCAGCATATTATATGATGACAAGAATTACTTCAGGAAGTGGCGCTGTAGCTCAAGTGGTAGAGCGCTCGCCTTGAGTTGAAGAGCTGAGGGACAACGCCCAGGCCCAGAGTTCAAGCCCAACGACCGACAAAAGAAAAAAAAAAAAAAAAAGAATTACTTCAGCCTATAGAGGAAATCTAACTTTGTAAAGTTCATGCCTGTTTCCTAGGAACCAACATCTTTGAGGTGATGAAGTGAAGCCACGCTCTAACACTGTATACTTTGAGAGGTCTTTAAAGTTACAAAAGGCAAGCAAAATAGAACACAACATAGTCACCTGCACCTCAAAGAAGCCTGACACCAGTGGCAATCATACCAAACCAGTAATCACACCTAGTCCATTTACTGTCTTCAAAAGCCTCAAGGCTGAAATACCTCCATCTCAGCATTTCCCTTGGCTGATAACCTTGAAAATGAAAACAATTAGAACAGAATGTAGCTGGGGGTGTGGCTTAGTGGTAGAGTGCCTAACATGCACAAAGACCTTGAATTCAATCTCCAGTGCCATCACACACACTGTGCCAGCCCAGCTCTCCCACTACCATCATCACCTGCCCTTTGGCTGAGCCCTCTACCTCCCATCCTCTCTTGCTCCAGAGTACTGCTCCAGCAAGTCTTCCCCTCTGACTTGCAGCATCAAACTGCCTTCCTACACCACTCCCATCAGCATACTAAACAAGATGTGTGTGTGTGTGTGGCGGGGGGTGTACTGGGGATTGAACTCAAAGCCTCATGTTTGTCAGATGGCACTCATTACCTAAGCCACTCTCTAGCCACTTTTTGCATTGGTTATCTTAGGGCCTTGACTTTACCAGACCCCAAATGAAAAGTAATTTGTCAGTCCAGTAACTCCCAAATCTTACCATCTGAGTCTGGTCTGATGCTTGCTTTGTATCATGCCTTGCACTTTTTAAAATGGAAAGCAGACCCAGGCACTGGTGGCTCACACCGGTAATCCTAACTACTCAGGAGGCTGAGATCTAAGGATCCCAGTTTGAAGCCAGCCCAGGCAGGAAAGTCTGTGACATACTCTTTTTGTTGGTGGTGGTGGTCATGGGGCTTGAACTTTGGGCCTGAGTGCTGTCCCTCAACTCTTCAGCTCAAGGTGAGTGCTCTACCACTTCAGCCATAGCACCACTTCCAGTTTCCTGAGAGTTCAAGCCCCAGGACTGGCAAAACAAAAACAAAAAAGCAACCTTTATTGTAAATGTTTACCTGACAACAATCAGGGTGTGTTTAATGTTTGCTATAGCAGTGTCAGAGAACTCACTTTTCTTGTTTTGGTCTTTCCTGTTGTTTTGGGGTTTCTCTAGAAACTCCTTAAAATATAGTCTGTGTCTTGCATCTCCCTCAGTGGAAATCCACTGTTATTCATGAGATGTACTGATGGTAAGTATTGGGGAGGGGAAGCATTCTAAAATCTCATGATTAAATCTGTTGTCTTTCCTCACCGCAGATGTTGAGTCCCTTGGGCTTGGGACCTTCCGAATTTAATTTCCATGTTGTTTTTTGTTTCCCTGATGCAAGACAGGATCAGAGGCCTAGAGCCATTCAATTGCCTTTCCAGTAGAACAAAAAAGGATTTAGGAAATAATTTTCCCCAAGTATGGACCCTTCTACCTTGGAAACAGGAAGTCTGGGGTTACTTTCACTCTAATTTTCCTTCTTCCTGTCCAGAGTACAGAGGTGGTTTTGTTTTGTTTTCCCATCTCCACAGTGAGAACTTGCTGGGGTTCATGGAGGTAGACTATGAAAGTGTGAGGGTCCCTTAAGACCCTAGGGTTTGGGGGGTTTTGTTTGTTTGTTTTGTGTGTGTGCAGGTACTGTAGTTTGAACTCAGATGAGTTTTTTTAAATCATGAATGGAACTCTACCTTTTGAGCTATACCTCCACTTCTGGCCTTTTGATGGTTAATTGGAGATAAGAATTTTAAAGATTTCTCTTCCCTGGCTGGCTTTGAACCACAACATCAGATCTCAGACTACTAAGTAGCAAGGATTATAGGCATATGCCACTAGTATCTGGCTCAGCCCATTTCACACTCAGTCCCTAACAATTGGTTTAAATTGTAGTTACTGGCTCCAATAGTATCTTCTTTAGATAAGCTGATATGTATCTTTCTGTCCATTTAGTTTTTTATGGTCATTAACCCATGACCTCAACTCTCTAACGGATCTAAGAAAATTGCTAATTTTGTTTGATCAGCATTTTTCCCTCCCATTATAAGAGAATACACAATTGTTTCTCAAACATATTCCAGATTTTTCATCTCCCTTCCATTCAAGCAGCACTTGTCAAAGCCTCCAGTGACCTTAACATTGAATGTTTAGGGCTACTGTTAGAACTCCAATTATTGACCTGTATGCAAGCACTGGACAAAGACTACTCCTCCAAAGTTGGTTTGGATTTTATACCATACATCACTGGTTTTCTTTCCTTATTAGCCCTTCCTGTCTCCTTTGCCGGTTCCTCTCATCTCCTTGGCCTCTTAGCTTTTGGAGTAAAGTGACCCAACATTCCTCAGTCCTTGGACCTTTCTCTACATACAGAAAGATGAGATTTACGCCTTTGGTATTGTCATCTAATTTCACGGCTTTAAAGACCATTTATATATTGTCTTCCATAGTTATATCTCCAAAGAAATAAGATCCAGGCATCTCAAACTTACATCTGTCCATGCTTATGTCCATCTCAAATGCTCTGATAAAAACATCCAGAAATCCTGTTTTTTCTCTCTCATTTGAACCCAAAGCCTCATGCTTACCAGTCAGGTTCCTTACCACTAGAGCCACTCTACTAGTCCCTTTTTCGCATTGGTTATTTTTGGTCTTGGTTTACACACAGACCAGCCTTGACTTCTATACTCCTT